TTTAACAAAGAGATTATGTCAACTTTAATCATAGACAAAAGATAAACTAAAACAGACACTAGTCAGGTGGGGGTGGCCGAGCTTAGTTGTAAACGCATTAATATCCTTCCGGCCGTCGCATAACTGCTGGGAATCCTGAGCGGCCTCTCTTTGTGTTGGACGAGGGAGCTTTAAAAACTGCCACATTTGTTGATTGTGTTGAGATTGCTAATTTGATTATTAGGGTTTGTGATGCTTCTTACCCCTTTAAACATATAATTGATTATTCCAGAATGTTTATTTATAGGAATTGGAAATTGACCATAGTTCAAAGGGTTGGGGAAAACCACAGTGTAGCGCATTATTTTAAACTAGTATAGTACCCACGCGATGCATAGATATGAATTAATGTTGTTTTATATACGATAAAATGTCAAATCATCACAAAATAGTTAGCTGAAGATCACATTTTTGCTTCAAGTCATTATTTTTACTTAATATGCATAAAAAGTAAAGTATATATAAATTCTGTAGGTATGCAAAATATATGGATCCATTATCAACATTTTATTCAATAGTATACCCTTATATTTAAATAAAGCCCAATATTTAACAACTTGGCCTCTTTTAAGAATTTAATTGTGCTAAAATCAATGCATACTTAACATCAACAAATTCAATATAGTTACTCTCAAATCAACCATATTGATATTCCTCCAATACTAATTTAACTAATATCATTAATCTACTCAAATTATTTAATTAGAATTTATATTACCTCCGGTCCTTAATATAAGACCCTGTTTAACTTTTATTTTAGTCCTAAATATAAGACCCCAATCCACTTTGTCTCTCATATTTATATATTTTTTTTCAAAGTAACCCTTCTAACAATGATAATTCTAGTCAATACACTTGATTAGCAAGAATATTTTAGGAAAGACAACACATATTTAGGACAAATAACTAACTCAACTTACTTTCTTAATCTCTTCAAATTAGTCAACTCATCCTTATAATTAGAACTGGAGGTAGTATAAAGGAGCGGGAGAGTATTTTATATACTTGAGAAGAATTCTGATAAGCGACAACACAATGAATAATAAAAAATTCCATGTAACCAAGAAGTCTTGCTTTCAAGTTTAACTCATGAATAAGGCATATGCAAATATAGCCTATCGATGGATTGATAAAAAGAACAAAGTAGAAATTCTATTTCACAGCTCTACTATACAAATCACAATAATATTATGGAATTTATTTATTTGTATAAAGAGGAACAAACAGTTATTTCATTGGCCTCCTAATTTTCCTGTTGATAAGTGAAATAGGAACAATGGGAAAAAAAATCTATTTATTTATGAGTTAAGATACATTTAGCACCTCGCAATATTTTTTAGAGTGTATCCGGTACCTTAAAGTATTTTATGATGCATCCAGCACTATAAAGCATTTTCTCGGATGCGTTTAGTATCGTGAAGTACTTTTTGATGCATCTAACACTTAGAAGTATTTTTTTAAGTAAGTCCAACACTCAAAAATATCTTTTGGTGCATCTAGCACTAAGGCCAAAAAAAATATTTTAAGGTGCTAGACGCACTTGAAAAATACTTCGGAGTACTGGATGCATTACAAAACATTTCATGGTGTTGGATGGCCTTGAAAAAATACTTCGAGACACTGGGTGCACCTCAACCCTTCATTTATTATGCATTATTTATCAATGTTAATTATTTTGAATTAGGAAAATACATTTTACTTTTTTAATTTGAATTATTTTTGGAGCATTTTTCTATCCTTATTTATTTATGCTATTTTTGTTTTTGGGCTGAACATGTGAAGTAGAGATAATAAGAAGATAATCAAAATGGATGGGAGAACGTGGCATGCTAGGGATATGCTTATTTTGTAGCTTAGTGAGGTTATTCACATAGTAAGCCATGAGCCTGTGATAGTGCCCGTGCGCTGTATTTCCTTTAAAAATATTGGATTAACAAAGACACATTGGCTAACGAGTTCAAGCTCACGTACTTTATACACATAGTATGTTGTGTGCCAGTGATAGTACCAATGCGCTATACATAGGAAATTTTATAGCCAATAAGTGCACAAGACACATGATATTTTCTTTGTATTATAAAAGCAGATTAGATAACATAAAAAAAAAAAAAAATTAATGGAGATAAAGTGGTTAGTGAATTGAAACACATATTTTTGAGTCAATAATTACATAGGATAATTTCGTAGCCAATAATTACGTAGGATATATCAATGACGATTAACTACTTTCTCAAAAACCTTAAATGCAAATATGAGGAATAATTATTAAGTTGTTATTTGGGAGTTAGAAGCACATATATCATATATCATGGGAGCAGCGTGTAGGAAATTTTGGCTTTTACAAGAATGGGAAAATAACATAAAACAAATATGGTAGTTACAAAAATAGGGGAGGTGTGCTTATAATTTCAGATTTTAAAAAAAAGAACAATAAAACTCATTTATCTGCATCTTTGTAAAGTCATGCGGCAGCCTTTTGTGAGTCATGTTTCATACTCTATTTTGATATGTTAAGAGATTCTCTTACTGCTTAGAGGGTAATTTTTGCACCTTTAATTAACCCCTACCATTATGCCATGAGTTGGTGATAGGAGAAAGGGGCAGAGCCTATCTTGTTTTGTAAGGGTATTTTTGACTTATTAAATTTCAGCATTTTATTTAAAAAAAAAATAGACCAATAAATAGATGGCATGCGTTATGACTGGAGTTGGTTTTCTTACCAAAATACTATGAACAGTAAAATTATTTACCAATATGATATATTTTTAAAAGTATTTACCAATACGTTGCACTTAAAATCGTTTTTCATGTGAATAATTTTTAAAGTCGTTCTTCTGGTGAATGACTTCTTTATAATCAGTCCTCAATATGCGTGAAGTGAATGAAAAATCGTTTTTCAGGTGAAAGATTTCAAAACTTCATTTGCTGCTGAACGACTTCTCACCTTCTCTCTTGATTAAAACAATTAGTATATCATCGTGACCATCATCCCTCTTCACCTCTGTTGATCCTACACAACTTAGTCTCATTACATGGCACCCTCATCATCATCCCCTTCCAACTTAGTCAATCCTTTTCAATTTCAACCATTTATGACTTTATTAGATAATCCTATATTCTTTTTAGTTGAATATAATGCTTCTACTTTTAAACATGGTGGATCATCAAATGAAGCATTTGTCACTCCTTGACAATATATACATTTAAATGAAGCACATTGGTTTGATTTGAACATGCCAACTATACAAACAAATGAGACACTTGATCTCAAGAAATTGACATACAACAACAATGGCCACAACATATGAGAAGGAGGCCAAGATGTGGGACTGGAAGTCACTATCAGTAAGGTGGATAATTTTTTCTTTATAAACTTAGTTTTTATTTATTATTTTTTACAGTAAAATATTTATTACTTTTTATTTTTAATTAATATATATCTTATACTCATTTCACAATTAGTTTTAATATCATTATGTAATTATCAACATTTTTCTCCCATTATTTAGTCATGATTTAGTCATTCAAATGATTGATAAATCATTCTACTAATTATTTTAATTAGGAGAGAAGGTGAAAAATCATTCAACAACAAATAAAGTTTTGAAGTCGTTCACTTGAGTAACAATTTTTTAGGTCATTCACCTGAAGAACGATTTTCATTCACTTCACGCACACCAAGAACTGATTATAAAGAAGTCGTTCACTAGAAGAACGATTTTAAAAATTGTTCATTTGAAGAACGATTTTAAATACAGTATATTGGTAAATAATTTTACTGTCTGTAGTGTTCTGGTAAAAAAGCCGCTGGAGTTGGAGTAGTCGTCATTTTTCATACAGTCGAGAACTGTTCATACACATTATGAGCAGAATTGGTGAAAAATGACCAACAATGCTAGACCCTCATAACATAACGAATTAAAATTCAAATCCTTGTTAAGAGAGATATTTACATTTAGTATCTGACAGTGTTTTGAATAAGATTATCTCTAATAGAAAAATATCAATGCTTTAAAAAAAAAAAAAGAACTGGTGTAGAATGTCTTAGGAACCGCTTCTTGAGATGATTTGGGTGGAATAGATTTCTAGATATACGTGTTATTAGATTGTTGTTGCGGTGAGTGCCAAATACAGAAGCTCTATGCCGTCAGTCGTCAAAAAGCTTTGGAGCTTTGTCGGAAGAAATTATTCCTCAAAATAATGAGTTATCGTTAATATCGACATATTTAAAATCGCTAAATATTTAGGAGTTTCTCTATTCAACCCTTTTCTTTCTTCTTCTTGCTAGATATGTTGTTCATGCAATCTCCATATGAATGATCACACAAACCATCCATATGTAGGGCAATGACACAGAGCTTCAATATATATATAATCGGAAATAAATCTTTTAGTCCTTATAATTTTAGGTTTTAATTCATTTGTAATTCAATTCCTATACTTTAACTTGATACAACTTTGTTTTTAAAGTTTTGATTCAATTATAATTCAGTCCCTGAACTTTGATTCACTACAACTCAATCCTTATAGTTTTAATAATTTTATAATTCCGTATCTACCTCAATTAAATGTATAGTTTCATTTTTCTAAAACATAAAATAGTTAATACTATGGGGATTAAGTTGTAACAAGTTAAGTTTAGGGACTGAGTTATAACCAAATAAATCCTATAAAGAGTAAATTGCATCAAATTAAAGTAGAGACTTAGTTATAAACAAGTCAAAACCATAAGAATAAAAAGATTAATTTTCCCTAAATCCAATGAGAACCAGTGAACGTAAGCAAATAATCTTTTCCTATTCTACCTATACGGATGGTATGTATCTCTTTGCATGGTCAGAAGTGCTAACACTGGTATGTATCTCTTGGCAATGCTTGTGTGAATGCATTTGCTTCTTTGCTGTCCCAAATCAGAGATTAGATAAATTTCATGCGTGAAACATAGAGGAGACGAGAACAAAAAAATAGCAATAGGTCACTCAAGACCATTCTATATATAAGATTGATTCAAAACTTTTTGGACCAGGTAAATTGTCAATCCAAAAAAGAAAATAGTTATACATGGATTGCCATTTTCTTTTCACACATGAATACAATCCCATTCCACAACTATTGACATTAACGCTAACAAAAACATATAATTAATCTCATTTCTTCTAATCACATAAAGCTAAACCTTTTTTTGTTTAAACAGAGGAGTTATAGCGGAAAAACCAAGATGATGTCTGTCACCTAGGCCCAGAAAGCTCCATAGCTTCTACTATGAGTGAAGAGTCTTCTATAAAATCTGAATATCTCTGCGGAGTAGAGTTTTCACTGCACCGGTACTTTGATGCATCAAGCTTCTGTGAAGCCTCCCATCTCTCTGCTAAACCATCGCCTTCCAGCATCTTCAATACTTCAGACATCTTTGGACGTTGAGAAGGATTAAACTGTGTACACAATAGTGCAACCTGAACCATTTCTTCTACCTCAAACAGCTCAAAGTCTCCATTCAAATCCTTATCCACCATTTGAGTTAATCTTCGTTCTTGACGGAGCTTCTTAACCTGAAAAAATTGGTCCCCACTTCAAATCAAACACATACCAAGTAGAAGCTTATGAAACAATTGAGTAGAAAGGTAAATTTATCTTCCACAATTAGTTTGGAAATGAAAAGGATTTGCAATTAGAGTGAGAGATAGAGGGAATACCCAATCAAGCATTACACCCTTCTGGTTAGCAGCTCGTCCAAAATCCAAGGCCTTGTGACCTGTGATGAGCTCAAGAAGCAAGATTCCAAACCCAAAGACATCGGTCTTTTCAGATGACTGACCTGTAGATAAGTACTCTGGAGCTATGTGACCAACTGTGCCACGCACTGCCGTGGTAACATGCGAATCTCTGTGATCCAGAAGCTTTGCCAAACCAAAATCACCAACTACTGCTTCAAAATCTTCATCCAGCAATATGTTGGCAGCTTTCACATCTCGGTGTATTATCTTAGGATCACATTGCTCATGCAAATAAACCAAACCTCTTGCCGTACCTAAAGCTATTCTCTTTCGCCTTACCCAATCTAAAGCTGGCTCGCCACGAATATGATCTGTTGTAGATACCCAAAATCACACCCAGGGTTGGTAACAATGAATCAATATCAAGTTGGTATGGCGTACAGCAGGCAATCATGAATTTATCAATGAAATGCAAAGAAATCCAATGAGCTAACCTTTTAATCGAGACGCTACGCTGCCATTAGGCATGTATGGATAAACAAGGAGCCTTTCATTCTGAGTGCTGCAAAAACCACATAGCCTGAGAAGATTCCTGTGGACGGCCAAGCTTATTGTCTCAACTTCTGTCTGAAATTGGATCTCTCCAGCGGCAGCATTATAGTCCTTTAACCTTTTCACTGCCACTATAGATCCATCATTCAAGCGCCCTTTGTAGACTATTCCAAAGCCACCTCTTCCTAGAATGTTCTTTGAACTGAAATGGTCTGTCGCAGCTCGAAGCTCCTTAAATGAGTATCTCTTTAAATGACCAAGGCGCACCTCTGGATCATATTGTTCTGCCAGGTAAAAATCTGTCGTTAAAATAGCTTTGAATATAGCTGAGTCACAAAACAGAACAAAAGTGTTCATAGGTATGGAATTTATCAACTGCTGATACTAGTTGTTTAACCCTTTACTATGCCTTTCTCATTTGATGATCTCATTCTACCTTCAATAGCAGTCACCACCTTCACCCAATCAAATTTAGAAATACACAAAACAAAGTTTATACAATAATATATCAATGAAAATTGAACAAGCGCATGATGATATGTATCCTTCAACCTTAAGTATTACATGTTTCAACTCCATTCCCAACTTATACCACAAAGTTTCCTGATTTTGTATGCAGATTTAAAATCACATGAAGACAAAGGAGGGGAAAGATTAAGCGACTAACCATTGACATCAAAGAATATCTGCTGGTTGTGTCTATACCGCCACCAAACAAGGAACCCAATGATAACCACAACAACAAAAGCACCACCAAAACTTGCACCAAAAGCAATTGCTACACGTTGGCTTTTAGTTACAGAGTCTGATTGGCCTAGACAACCAAAATACCATCATTGAAACATGTTATGGAATAGTTGGATAAAACTAATTTGAAAGTAGGCGATAAATTCGATGAAAGTTATACCTCTAATAGCATCTGGAGGGAAGGAAAGCGGCTCCGGCAAAACAGTTGAACAGTTCTTAGCCGTTGGACCACAAATTAAAGGGTTACCCACAATCCTGAAAATAAAAGATTCAGCATGAAGTTGATCACGCCATTGATTTCTAAACTAGGCGAATAATTTTTTTCTCTTTAAGAAAATGCTTACTTGAATGTTCTTGCAGATATTCTTGGCAACGGACCACTCAGATTGTTATAAGAGAGGTCCCTGCATGGATTTTCAACACAGAGAAGTAATTATTTATTGGAGAAGCAAATGCTTTAAATTTGCTTTTGGGGCCAGTGAATATAACAGAAAATAATGGAAGTCATAAGGCAGCGAAGACCTACACAAGGGTTAGGCCCTTAATGTGGCCAAGGGACTGAGGGCAGACTCCTCTCAAGCTGTTATTGTTTAACCGCCTAAGATGTTTGAAAGACAATTTAAATAAAAGCTGTAAGAAATTAGACCCTCAAAAGTATATTAAAATTCACATTCTATCATGCGGGTTAACATGTGAGTCATGGAAGCTTTTGAGATGAAACTTACAGATAATTTAGGTTCTCAAGCCCTCCCAAAGAACTGGGTATCTCACCACTAAATGCATTATTGGAAAGATCAAGTGTCTGAAGCTTTTCCAGATTTCCTATCCCACCAGGAATTGAACCAGAAATGCCATTGTTTTGAAGCAACCTGCACATTTGATGACAGCATTAATGAGATATTCCCCCTCCGCTTGTTGGCTTGAAAAGATTGCAGTAATATAATAAGTAACTCTTCACAGTACTGAAAGCAATACCCAGATAGACATGAAGAAAAACCTAATGAAATTAAGTAGAAAGAAACTTACACAGACTGCAAGTTTGTTAGGTTTTGGATTCCAGGAGACAGCGTACCGGACAAGTTCTGACTAGGCAATCCCCTGATATACGAAGAAAGCTTCATTTAATTTAAGTGAAAAACCTCAGAAGAACGTATTAATGAAGTTACTAATTTTGAAACAACTTACAAGGCAGACACGGAACCATCGGGAGAACAGGTAACCATCCTCCAGCTACAAGGGTCGACAGAATTAATATCCCAACTATCCAGGACATTGTGGGGATCAACCAAGTCATTCTTTATGGCAATCAGAGCAACAACTGTTCAAAGAGGAAATACATGTGAGAGAGCAAGAGAGTGCTTTCAAAATAGCCCAATCTGTTCAGAATTGTCTGCCTTAAAATATCAGCTAACCATCGTGATGAATAAATGAGGAGGACAAAAAATTTCCGACAGATATTAACCTTCATAGTTTACCCCAGAAGGAGAAAGAGCGGCGGAAGAAATTTCTGTCAAAACCAGAAGCAACAGACCCAGAAGCCAGAAAATCGAACCGATGATTCCCATACTGAATTCTCAGCTCAATAACTATTGTTTCCCTTTAAGCAAGAAGAAGGCTCTGCTCAAAACCTCCATAATTACCAATTGGACAAGGCATTCTCACACAAAGTCAAGTCTGCATCGCCTTATCCAAACAAAAAAAGAAGCTCTCAGAATCAGATTCCCTTGAAGCGAACCCAACTTAGCAACGTAACAACTTTACTTTACCATTAAACAGACCCAGATACCAAAAATGGCTTTTCCCACTTCAGAAACCAGCTCAATAATTGAAGAATTTGAATGGAAGTTGAAGGAATAATGTGTGCTGAGAGAGAAGCGCCTAGAAGAGGGAAAGTTCTTTAGTTTTTTTTACTTGAGAATAAACGAAGCTTCAAGCCCGAAATTCTGAGATCCTTGAGATCTGAGAAGGCAGGAATTGGTTTCTATCAGCTTTGGACAATCCCCACAAATTCCATGGGAAATTATTGTTGGATTCTAGCCTTGCTCTGTTCATTTCCGGTGATTCCACCACCATTATTGTCTTCCTTGTTTTGCAGTAAGCGAATATAGAAAGCATGGAGCACAGAGTCCCAACTCAGACCAAAAAGCACCAAAGACGCAAAGGCCAAAGTGCCATGGGCGACACAGATACAGTAACGAAATTTTATTAGAAAAGAAAATTGAAGCATTTTTTAAGAATTAATTATAATTATATATACATTTGTTGTTGTTTTTTTCAAAAAAGAATTCAGTGATTAGATTGAAGGGATGTGGGGGATTGATTTGATCATAAAAGAACAATTTGATTTTTCTATGCAAAAAGAAATTGCAGGTAAGTTTTTGACAGATCACGTGGTCGGATTGTCCCAGCCTTTGTTTGCTTTTGGCTTGAAAATACAACTTTTTCAGAATCGAGAAAAACTCAGTACCAACCAGAAAAAAAAAATCAAGAAAAATCTGTTAAAGCTTTCAGGACAAGGCCCACGCGCTAAAATGCGCCGCATATTAATTAAATTAGCAAAACATAAGTTGTTGTTATTAATTATTATTAATTAAATGGGCAAAACATAAGTTATTATTAATTATTTAATATATTACATGGTGTTCATTTAAATTGTTTTTTTTCCAAAATCTCTTTGAAATCACTTTTTTTTTTCAAATGTCTTTGAAATGACTGTTTATTCAAGGGGTTTAGTGGCTTAGTATTGATAGGGTGTTTGGGAACCTCAAAAGTACTTTTCAGAAGTATTTTTTTGCAAATCGAGACAAATTATTTTTACATATTTGCTTCGTATACCGTAAAAACACTTTTAAAATTATGATTTTGTTTCTATCCAAACACTGTCTTATTTTGTTTAGATTTCATAGATAAAGAAAATAATTAGTGCTACTGCTGGTTTGATATTAAGCAATTTAAATTTTAAATTACTTGGGGTTCAATATTTCAGAAAATTGATTGATATATTTAAATAAAGTTTATAATAATACGGGAGAATCGCAAAAACAAGACTGTAAAAATAAAAAATTACAAATAACGACCCGTTACAATATTAATATTGGTTTTGATAATAATAGATAAGCAAATAATAACAATTTTTGTGAATAGACTTCTGTATGCAATTTTTTAATTTTTCATAATTTTTTGACAATTTTCTTTAATAATATCGACATTTTGATAACGACTTTATTATGAGAAGAAAAGAAGATCACATGACAAAGAAAATAGACATAGGGCTAATAACATACAAATTTTTTTTAAATTTAATACAATTTAAATACATGCAAGAACATAAATACATCAACATTGAGGTCTAATTTGAGTGGCTCAAAAACGTTCAGGCAACACGCAAGTTAGAAGAGGCAGCAGAGTACTGTATAGTTTTGTACCCATCTTTTATTGGGACCGTGACATATTCCTTAGTCTAGTTTGATATTTATTTACTTGGTTTGTTTTACATTATATTTATACGGCCATATATTTCTGAAGTATAATCAAATAAAAATTAGAAGCCATTGCTATTGTTGTTATTTTGATTTGATTATTTGATATTATGGATAGCGTAACCTAATGCTCTTTGACATATTTCAATCGGTTCCACATAGCCGGGTGGCGGATCGTGAATGAATATACAACTCAATATACTTAAGAAAAATAATTATTAATTAGCCTTGTTTGATTTTCATACAGAAATCAAAATTATGATTAGCTACATTCAACACCTTAAAATATTTTTTTAGAAACATTCACTATGTTAGAAAATTTTGTTATGCATTCAACACCTTAAAATATGTTTCAGGTACATCCATCATTCTAAAATATTTTTTGTACAATTTTACACTTAGTTATTTAAGGTATTAAATGTATCAAAAAATTATTTAAGGTACTAAACGTGCCCCAAAAAAAATACTTTAGAATATAATTTAGGTTACTACATATACTTAAAAAAATATTTTTAAAATACTGCATCTGGTTCTTAATATAAGATTTCGTTTGATTTTTATTTTGGTCCTAAATATAAAATCTCAATCCATTTTGTCTCTACTATTTGTGTATTTTTTTTCCAAGGTAGTCCTTCTAATAATAATAGTTCTAACCAATACACTTGATTGATAAGAATATTTTAGGAAAAACAACACCTATTTATTATAAATAACTAACCTAACTACTTTTTTTAATCTCTTCAAATTAGTCAACTAACTCTTATAATAAGTAGTACTGTGTTTTGATGTTGGTGGATCCTTACAAGATAATTTAGGATGCTGACTAAGCCTTGACGGTATATAAATATGTGTTTTTCGTAAACTGTACGTGGAGCAAGTTTTACGCCAACAATGAATAACCAAATGCTCTCTCTCTCTCCCCTCCCCATGGAAAAGTGGAGTTCTTTTTCTATGCTAGTGGTATTTAATTAATAATTAATCTAAATTAGGAACCTTATGTTTTCCATAAAATTTTAGGTGAATCATAGTTCTATGAATATAATTATATTTTATATAATATGGTTAATTAAATATAATTGGAGAAGAGGCGGTTTTTTGGTGGTTGATTGGAGAGGATAACAGGAGATTTGGTGAGCAACTATGAATCAAGTACGAGCAATATTAAACAAGATATTGCACTAGTTTAATTATAGGACCCTCGAGAAGATACCTTTATATATGGGGTTGTTGTTGTTATTATATCATAAAAGAATTTATAATTATAATGCTGGATTATAGGTTCACCAGTCATTACTTTATTTACCTCTCTCCAAAGCTATCTTTGTCGCTTCGGGAACCTTGAATATTCTTCCGTTTCCCGGTTATTCTATTCTTATTTACTATTCTTAATATAAAAATTAATTAACTCATTTAAATAAATTTAAAAAACTAATTAAATTAGTTATTTGTAATAAATAGATATTATTTTTTTAAAATATTCTTACTAATCAAGTGTATTAACTAAAACTATTATTATTACAAGGACTATCTTTAAAAAATGGATATGAGAAATAAAATGGATTAGAGTCTTATATTTATGATCAAAATAAAAGTCAAATAATCTCTTATATTAAGGATCGAAAGTAGTATTTTTGCTAGTGTTTTTATCTTTTATATGTATATCGATCCTTAATATAAAACTTAATTAGCTAATTTGAGTAAATTAAGAATATTAGTTAAATTAGTTAATATGAATATTCTTTCTAAAATGCTCTAAGGTTCTGTTTGGTATGAGGGAAATGAAGGGAATGAGGGGGAAAGAAAAATTTTAATGAGCTCTGTTTAAAAAATTGGAGAGGTCGAGTTTTGAAATTTTAATAAAGAGAAGAAGTAATACTACCTTCGGTCCTAATTATAAGAGTTAGTTGACTAATTTGAGGAGATTAAGAAAAGAAGTTAAGTTAGTTATTTGTCATAAATAGGTGTTGTCTTTCCTAAAATATCCTTGCTAATCAAGTGTATTGGCTAGAATTACTATTGTTAGAATGAATATCTTGAAAAAAAATGCATAAATATTAGAGACAAAGTACATTAGGATATTATATTTAAAACCAAATAAAAGTCAAATAAGGTCCTATATTAAGGACCGGAAGTAGTATAAAAGAGTAATATAAAATTAATTAAAAGCTTTTGACCTCATTTTTTCAATTTTTTAAACAGAGCTCATTAAAATTTTTCCTCTCATCGCCTCCTCTCATTTTTCTCATACCAAACAGACCGTAAACATCTTTTTTAATTCCCTCATTCTTTCTCCTATTTGATTATTATTGAGAGAATATTAATAGGGTAATATATGAAATAGATCTTACATATAGGATTAATATTAACTTTTCGATCAGGTTTTACATTAAAGGATCGGAAGAGTATGGGTATGATTCTAGCAACTATTTCTTTTTTATTTTCTTGATTTTAACCGTCATTGGAAATAATTATGGAACTTGCCGTTACGGAGCCAATGTGGATTAAACATGATCTCTATTTATGCTGTACTAAATATTAGAAAAAATTGATCTTACTTTTAATTAAATATAAGCCTTGTTTTTGCAATAAAATTTTCAAAACCGAATCCAGAAAAAACAAGGAGGTTTTTTTTTATTTGGTCAAAAAGAAAAAAACAAGGAGGGGGTTAAGCTCACGATTTAATAGCAGACCAA